TATATATATATAGATATATATATATATAGATATATATAGATATATAGATATAAATATTTGAGAGTCATGGGTACTTGTTGATGGCATTAACGTTCTTTCTAATAGCATTAAAAGAGAATTAAAAAGCATTAAATTTGAGTTACTCATTCCTGTATATACCCTGGTTGATGATCAATATTTTAAACTATTTAAGTTATTTGTTTATCTATATTTGCAGAATATGAATTTGGTAAACCTAAAACTTTAGGAGTTTGGAATAGATACTCCTGATATATCCTGGCATATTTACAGACAAAGGAAGATTTTTTTTTAAGAGTAAACAGCATAACCTATTTATAAATATTGCTTTATAGTAGTTTTAATAGATAGTTTTATAAACATAAATAAAGAAAAATGTTCTCTGATTCCTTTACATACCTAATCATTAAACAATTGTCCATTAAATGGGACTGTTTGCCAGCAGTTGGACAGCTCGCACTCGGTGGTATTTGAAGTCATTAATATGCTCAGGCACACCTTTGGTCCTTTTATTCATAGGATACACTTCAAGAAGTTGAAAAACATTCCTGTCCTGCAGCTTGATGCCAATATGGAGTTTAAGAGCGATCCTGAGGCGCGGGAGGAATTTATCACAAAGGTAACTTTTATCAGAATTATTTATCTGCCGCTTCATTGCTGCCTTACCTCAAAGAGCCACATGGGGGCTCTAATGTTTCTTAGCTTATAGATTGCTGAATATTTTTAATGTTGATGCAATGTTTGTTGTCTAAATGTTTATAATCCATTGTTTTACTAAAGTATCGTTCCTCCAACACACAGGTGAAAAACTTCTTTAGTGCCTTGTGAGAAGATTCTTCCCCACAGCAGGAAACAGAAGACGTCAAACTACCACAAAAAAGAGTTACATAATATACATGTATTTTTATGGTGTTATCTTTGCATCACCACTCTTATTTAAGATTCATAGAGTTTGTTTGTATAAAAGTATTTCACCTCTTATGATCCATTTGTTTGTTCTGACAGCGATGGGTCATTGTTTTCCACACCAGAATTCTTATTTAGTCATAAGAATAATCAGTATTCTTATGCTGAAGAATCTGATAGTTTTTATACCAAGTATTCATCATAAGCTAAAGATTTACTGTGAACAACGTCACACAGGGTTGACTGTGGATTTTCTGTACTTTGTTGACTAAATAAAAAATTGTTCTTAAAATTTTTGTTCTTAGACTTAATCACAGCGTGTTTGCTTCCAAACACGCAAAATAAAATATTATACATTTATGTTAGAGCCATGACATAAAAACCATAATCAGTAAACATTAGTAAGACTTTCAATTCCTTTCTTCTAAGAGGCACGGTTTATCATTGTCATTTCAACAGATTCTCTCTCCCAATCTGTTGCTCTCCACAACTCTTTTAAGGTTATCATTCGACTCTTCTGACTGATTATCTGCTCATCCAGCCTGTAGCTTTAAGTGGACAGCAATTCAAGCCACAAGCACAAATCTGCCTTCCATTGAGGAAACAAAAGATAAATTTCTATAGGGCTGAAACAATCAGATTATTTGGGACTAATCAATTACTGAAATAATCGTTGACTAATTTGGTAATCAGTATTAATTGGAGTATAGAGACTGTAAAATATGCCTTTAACTGACAGAGAAACCCACTTAGAGCAGGAATTATACTAAGTTGTGAAAAAATATATACATATATTTTGCATAATAAACATTTTTTGTCCTCCAATATGCCCTATCCAGAACTCCTCAAGTGTAAAAAATAATTGACAGATTAATTAATGACCAAAATAATTTAAAGTTTCAGCCCTATTTTTCTATGTTGGTGAATTATTTTAGTAAACACGAACAGCTAACACCTGCAAACAGAAAAAGCAGTAGGAAATTTATACAGCAAAAGTCACATTTTAACCACTTTTCAATAGAAAACATAATTCGGAAGCCGACAACATTTTGTTCACCTATCCTTCTGCATCTTGTGACGGACTGCCATGCAATGTGGCATGAGTCATAGTAATTACTACTGTTTGATACTATTAATGACATTTGGCAATGTCATTTAAACTATGTTAACAACTTATTTACTGTACTGCATACAGCATTGATGAGGTTCCATCTGTACACTTTACTGCACCATTATAGTCCGCTCGAAAAAAAGGCTCTTGAGAAATAGCTCTTTTTTCCCAAAAATAAAATAATACTATTGGTTTTAACCTTTTCCCGTAAGGGCAGTTTGGTTCTTGATAGCTTTTTCTCTGCAATCATTAACCACCACTGTGCTCATCCCTGCCAAGTGATTTGTTGTTTATTTGTGGATGTAGCTGTAGTTCCTTTCTAAACCAGAGAATAGCAGCAGCAATAATCTTAAATAAATGTCTTAATTTAACACTTTAGTTAATAATAAATGAACCATAAACTGACAGCATAATTACAGCGTTCAATTATTCATATCAATATACTAACATTAAATATGACATCATTTTTTTTTATAGTGTTTTGTGGGGAGATTATAAAATAAAGTAATAAGCATTTTTGCAAGTCTATAAGTAATGTTAAGCTTTCTTTGGACTTAATGAGGTATACGCTCAAGTGTCTAATTATTTATATAATAAATTGTGGATTTAAAAGTTGACGGGACAATGACCTTGGCTAAAAGTCCTCCTTCTCGGGGACTGTGATGTGCTCTGATGATCAGAGGGGCCGTTAAGATGCCTGCAGTGGTCAGGGGTCATCAAAGGGCAGCTGTCCACTATAAAAGACCTGTCTGCAGCTCCATCTGCACACAACATCATTTGTGCCCGAGAGAAGCCAGAGGAAGGACAGACTGAGGCAAATCTTTTTGGGTTTCAGCTAAAATGGAGTGCAGAGGTCTTCTTGTTTTCTGCACGCTCTTTTTCTGCTCTTTGGGAGTCATTTACTCATCTCGGGCCCGCAGACATCACACACACCTGGAGAACAGTTCAGCGTATATAAATCATTCAGCTAGTCATCGTATTAGATACCCTTCATACATGATGCAGCTGTACCGCTCCTTCAGTGCCGCCGACTCCATCTCCTCAATGGCTGTCAACACCTTCACAGCTCAAAGGGACCAACCTGCAGTTCACAACTCAGATTCTGTCCTGAGTCTAATGGCCAAAGGTTAGTAAAACTGTTTCCTTTATACTTTTAATACTGCTGTGACTGTTAGTTTCTGTCATCCAGCTGCATTAAGTTATCAGACTCTCCCTTTTTACAACCCAGCAAGTGACAAAATGCTTATTGGACTTTAAAGGGCCGGCTCTGTTTTATGTGGGGCGGTTGTATATTAGCCCTCAGACGGCCTTGTGCAGGGGGGTCCAATACACATCCTGTCCCGTTTCCCCTCTCACTTCTGCGTTTTGACATCTGTCCAGCAGCTTGGCCCCTAAACATCCACTCAGTCTATCAGTGTCAGGCTTTGATTTCTCTTTCTTCTTCCCTTTAATTAAGGTTGCCATCAAGCGGGTGACACATGGACGGTCACATTCGACATGTCCTCTATCTCTACCAGTCAGCTTGTCCAGCTTGCTGAGCTTCAAATCCGACTCCCGGCTTTCTCTGCCTCCAAACGTGCCACTGTGGATTTATATCACTCCCGGAAACAGAGCTGTGACCCGGACAGCACTTTGTGCGAGGAGGAGGTTGTCTTCTTGGGGAGCTTTGCCGCAAAACCAAGTAGCACAAAGTCTTCCTGGAGGGTATTCGATGTGACCGCTCTCTTGAAATACTGGCTCTATCAGGGAGGTGAGGTGCTGAACCAAGAGGCTTCTGGGGAGCCTGAGAACAGCGATGGGCGCAGTCAAGATGTGGGCAACTGGGGAACAGTGCAAAAAAAAGTACAACATCCAACCACAAATCGGGTAATGATGGTTATCTTCTCCAAACACAACATGCCCCAGGATGCCCCTGCAGCTTACAGTCTTATTCACACTGTAGAGAACTCCAAGTATCTAAAAGCCAACAGGGTCAAGATTGACAATCAAAGCAGACGCCACAAAAGGAACCGATTGGGGGCCCTGAGAGTTATTGACGGACCTGTACCTACCGTGGCCCCCGTAGTGGAGCAGGCTCAGGGGCCACTGTGTCGCAGGGTGGATATGTGGGTAGACTTTGACCACATCGGCTGGGATGAGTGGATCATCCATCCTAAGCGCTACAATGCCTATCGCTGTGAGGGAGAGTGTCCGATACCACTGGACGAGTCCTTCAACCCCACCAACCACGCCTACATGCAGGTAAGATGATGACCACATAGTTTAGCTTTCTTTTGATGCAAAGTTGTTGATTTATTTAAGTGAAATGATAACTTTCAGAGCCTGCTCAAACATCACCACCCAGGAAGAGTGACTTGCCCTTCGTGCGTGCCGACGCGCCTCACCCCGCTCTCCATGTTGTACTACGAGAACGACGACCTGACCCTGCGACACCACGAGGACATGATTGTTGAGGAGTGTGGTTGCCATTGAAGCCAACCAAAATTACCGAATTACTATCAAATTAAACTTGAATTATTTTGTTTTTGTTCTCATATTAATTGTAATAAAAAAATTGTAATGAGCATTTCTGGTCATGACCGTCTACTGAAAGCCGTTTTCAGTGGGAATAGATTTATTAGTAATTTTCCACCATTTCATATATGTTAAAACAATGTAAATGTGAATATTATGTCTATTTATGCACAATAATGTATATTTTTGTATATAAAATATAAAAGAATATATTAAAATCTTTTATTTAAAGAAAGAGTTGAATTATATGCTTTATTTTAATGGATGTCTGTTCTGTTGTTAAATAAATGGCACTATTTCGTTACAGCTAGATTTACAAAGGTTGAAACCACACCAATGAGGCTTCAGTGGGAGTCATATGTTGAGATATTTAAGTGCTGTATAGCCAGGTTTGAAGTTTAATTGTACATGCCAATTATTTTCCAATATAGTGCATCACTCACATTTCAAAATCTGAATAGTTATATGGCTTTTAAATAAATGTTCTCTCTATAAGTCACCTAAATGGTTGTTAAATTAAACCTTTGTGTAATTTTATCTCGGCATGAATGCAACTAAACCTCAGAGGTTTGCAAGAGAATGTGACCAAGCTACATATTAGACAAGTCAGCAAGAAAGTCGTAGAGAAGTGTAAAGCACAAATAGCTCATAGAAGTTTTCCAAGCTTTGGAAATCTAACAGAAGAGCAATTGACCCATGCTCTAAATGTGAAAAAAGCATGACACAACTGAAAACCTACCAAGAATAACTGTCCGCCTACATCAACAAACTAAGAAAGGGAAAATACTCTGATCTGAGAAAGAGTTAAAAGGTCAAAAGTAAATCTGCTGGAGATGTAGAGACATGAACAAGACATATATTTTTTTTAAAGTTACTAATCTGCCCTTAATAATAATTGAACTTTATTGATCTCACACTGGCGAAATTTACTTCTGCATCTTAACCCAGTGGGCTGCCACTGTGCGGCGCCCGGGGAGCAATCGGGGGTTAAGGGTCTTGCTCAGGAACTCAGAGTGGATCGCACCAGGTACTTATAAGCTTCTCAGAGCACAAGCACACTGCTCTACCCACCAAGCCACCGCTCCCCTAAAGGAAGAGATGCAATAAGAAAACTCCAATTTGAAACCTTGTTCATCATCGCCATTAAATGGACACTGCAAATGTAGAAGATTAAAGCAGAATTGTACTTTTTGAGCCTTCATGCAAAATGTATGTAATACACCCTCAATGTGAAACCTTACGGTGGTAGTGTCATGAGGACGATTTTCTTTAGAAGAAACAGGCAGGTTTTTCAGGGTTGTAGGGAAAATGGATGAAGAGATCACTAATGAGCAACGGAATTATGTTCAGAAAAACTGTAAATACAGAGAAACATTGCATACAGACTTGTAAGGAATTCAACAATCCAAGTCCAGACCTAAATCATAAGGAAAAATTAAATAAAACCTGAAAACTGTTGTTTACAGAGAATCTGAGACTTAGACTGAGCTATTTTCACTGCGATAATTAAAGCATACTAAGTTTTATTTTCCTTTTCCCTTGATTTGAGCAGCGAAGTAAGAAAATTTACCAATGGAATAAGATGACTAAAGCTTATAGAAAGAAGAAAAGCAACTCATTTGTAAAGTGCATATCTAATTATTTGTACTTTTAATCTTAAACATGTATGTACTTTTAGATCAGTTAGTCCAGTGTTGCAAAGAAAAACACATTTATCTCAGCTTCTAAATATTCAAAAAAGACAGAGACCTGCACCATCCTGCTGTTAGAGGCTGCTTTACTAAGTATTGTATAAAGGGACATAATGAAATTCCACAAAACACAGGTTCAATTTAAATGAATTGTTTAAATAGTCTCTTCACACCTAATTAACAGATCACCCACATATTCATCACGGTTTTACCTTGTTGACTCCTAACCAGCAAACAGTTTAGTATGCTTACCTTTTTCACCTTCAGCAATCCACATCTTAGGCACTTTACTGCACACTCATTACAGGTGTCATTAGCTGTGCTCCTAAACCAGGCTTCTTTTGTTGATTGAGAACAACAGGCACAAGGGCTAAAACTGCACAAACCTTCGTAGATCAATGGACCAGAAAGAAGGTAGAAGTGATTGTTTATCTTGGAAATGGGGGATGGAGTGTCAGGAAGCAGAGGTGACGCAAGCAAACAAAGCCATGAAGAGGAGTGGAAAGAATCAGAAGCTGTAAAGTGAGGCTACTGTACAAGAAAAAACTGAGGGGGGTGATCTTAATTTATCAACGTTTTAGAGAAATTGTCACATCTTAACAAAATATTTCTTCATTAGTATAATAGAACCTCAAAACTTTTGTTAATATTAATGCTTAAAACACCTAACACCTCCTAAGACTTGGAGGAGAATCCCTTAAAAATATTATTCTAAGTTGATCAGATAATGCATAGCATCTCTCTAAGCTAGAGAAGATAAAAGAAAATGTTAGAAATATCCTCTTGAAACGTGATAGATTAGATTAGATTCAACTTTATTGTCATTACACATGTACAGGCACAAGGCAACAAAATGCAGTTTAGGTCTAACCAGAAGTGCAATAGCAGCAAGTGCAGGATAAATAATGGTTCCATAAATACAGGACATGGGTTTCTACTGAATGTATATAGAGATGAATACTATTATAAATAATGAATATAATATATAGAAAACTAGTGTTATGAACTAAATTTACAGCTGGATATGTACCGAATATAATATACAGGTGGATATTACTATAAAAAAGGTGTTTTACAGTTTTACAGTACAGTTATGTACAATAGCATAATATACAGATGGGTTTTACTAAAAAGTGTATAAATAAAGTTTGGACAGAAGCTAACTAAATTAAAGTGCAGTGGAAGGTAATTGCATATTACAGTTAAAGTACGTTATTGCAAATGTATATGTAAACAATTGGTACTGTGAATAAACAGTCAGCAGTGCAAATATAAGCAGATAAGCATATAAGCAAATTAAGTAGAATGATGATCTTGAATGATACCATGGCTGAGACGGTCTCTTACAAAACTACTAGTAGTCCTTAAACGTTTTCACATTGTTTACAATAATCTTAAAAAAGACAAATTTCTTAAAATAAAATCTATAACCTTAAATAACCATCTAGAAATTTAACAAAACTTTTCCCCCATGGGTTTCCCACAGATTCTCAATATAGTAGAATATTTTGGGTCTTTACTTTGATTAGGCCATTCTAACAATTGTTGTAAAATCATGTCTCTGGCTGTATACTGAGGATCACTCTAAAGGTAAATGTCTTCCCCAGTTCTCAGTCTTTTGCACCCTATAACATGTTTTCTTCAATAATTTCTCTTTATTTAGCTTCATACATTTTCCCATCAACTCTGACCTGCTTTACTGTGCTAAGATAAAAACATTCCTACAGCACTATCATGTAATTTTCTCATCCCATTTTAGCAATAACATCCTCAGGTTATTCTGCTGTTTTTGGTCACTTACTGATTTTTGTGAATTAAATAAAAGTCGTTTTTGACTTTCTATTCTCCTATTTCTGTGTCTCTTACATGGACTGTTGCAAATTTCAAAGGGAACATCTTTTCTTTGAATGAATCCCTTCTGCTTCCTACTTCTTCACATAAGTCAGAGATGTGGATTGCATGAATAATACTGTAGTTATCTGATCAACAGATTCTTCTAGCAAAGCTACAGGGATCCCTGGCTGCCTCTCTAACTGAAGCTATGTTATGTTTCCAATGTTTTATCATTGGCTGGTTTCCAGGGTGTTTTTCCTGATCTGTCTGCTTTCTTTCTAGATCTTAATGATGCTCTCTGGTAACTATTTTTTTGCAACAAAGGCTCTAAGGTATTTAGAGAACAGCTGGATTCATACCGAGTTACATGAAATAGATTTCTGATAGTTATGAGTAGTGGAGTTTTTTACTTTTTTTTGAAAAACCTCAGAATAAATCCATGTTTCCTTTTTATTTTTAGTTGAGACCTGGACTACTTTTTGTTGAGGTATCACATTAAGGCTTACTAAAATCTAAAATGTCATATTGTAGGTTAAAAGGGGAAGAATTTCAAAGGGATTAGCAAGATAGTTTAAATATTGCAGGCTTTTATACACAGTTTATTTCTAAAGTGATATAAGAGAACAGACTTCTGTGATGGCCTCAAAAACAGTGCGACAGTCCCAGACCTTAACCTCATCTTGTTGGGCCATTATCATTAGCTGGCTAATATAAAAACTGGTTTAGCTCGATTTTACAAAACTGATAAAATTACTTTTGTGATTATTTTTATAGAAAAATTTAAGATTCTTTAATACAAATTTTTGTTTGCAGGAATGTATTTATATTCAAGATATGAAGACAGCTAGCATATGTGGCAGCTAAAATTAGTTGTAAAAAGAATATTGTAAGTTATATGGAGTTTTTATCCAGGTGTATTAGTAGTATATACTGAATGTTTGAGCATATGAAAATGTCTTCATTATTTAGTAGTTTTCAACATTAATTTGTAATATTAAACAATTGTTTTTGCTGATTTATTTACCCAAGAGATCTGGGCAAAGTGAATCTGACAGGCTTCACCTTGAGTAAAAGTGTTGAATGGAAGGAGGGAGTTTCTCCCTGCTATGTACACTTGTATATTGACCTCTCTTTAGGCATCCTACTGGCTGAGGTTATCAGCCAGCAGCGTCTTTGAGGAATTCCTCTGAAATGTCTCGTCCTGAAACAGCGACAGGAGGTTTTGCAGCCGGCAGAGCAGGTCGCTGCACATTTGCCCCAAAGAAATGTATATTAGCAACCTGTGGATGTTTTTTTTTTTCAAGCAAACATTGCTTTTCATAGATGTGAACAAAAATGTGCTAAACAAAAAAAAGGGACAAAAGAGAAAAGGTTCATTTGTGTTTCCTTTATTCACCCCACAAACCGTGAAAAAAACTGTTTTGTAAGATCAAAAGAAAGTCAGCTTCACATTGGTTATGTAACACTTCAGGTAGAGGAGATTTAGAGATCTAGAGAGAGCTGGCAGGATTATGAAAGCACACTGAGCAACAAGCTCTCCTGGAGTGAATGTTTATTCAGAGGATTGGATCTAGATTTACGTCATGGATGAGGCATTGTTGGTCTTAGGTACCTTCAGAGGTGACTCTTTTGTTCTTACTGCAGCGACTACAGGAAGGCACACTTTCACATGTAAAAAAAAAAAAAAAGGATTGAGCCCTGAAGCAGACAAAAAATAAAATAAAATTATTTTTCTGTGCAAAACAATCACATGAGCAAAAGGGCGGATGTTGAAACGTTGAAAACAAAGTGATGATGAAGGTAAATCTGCCAGAGACAAAGATTGAAATAAAGTTGCTCCTGATCATCAGTCACGCTTCAGTACTCGTTCAGCTTCGCCTAGATGTCCATTTCAAACTGTGCTTCATCCCCTAAAAAACAAAACAAAAGCAAATATGTAATTAATCAAATAACAGACAGATCCTCACTACTTTAAAATGCAGCAAGTAGAAAATAAGAATAGGAGATCCAAATAAATGATCTTTAATTTCAAAGGAAATTATCATATTAGATGACCAGTCTCTTTTTGTCTTGCATGTTCAGCCCATTCCCAGTCACTGCACAGCATTTCAATAACATCTGGGCTTTAACTAGACTCAGAACTTTCCATTTCTTGATACTTAGCCTGTCTTTAGAAGAGTTATTTCTCTGAGGCCCAGACAACCACAGAGGTGAAGTTCTGACTGCCGTCATATCATTTATTTATGGTACAAATAAGCATTTGAGTTAATAATCTCCTGTGATACTGAAAGCAACATGTGAAAGGCAGCAATACCCCAGAAAGTGTCCACTATGCCAGAAATGTAAAAGAAGAAGCAGGCTAACTACTAATGCTTAGTTCTGCTGTAGAATGGTTCAGTAATGTGGTAAGGCATAACATATCCACCCCTAACCTTATTTATGTTAAAAACTGATGATCAAAAGTCTTTCTCAGTCACCAAGTGCTTTTTAATTACAGGATTAGCAAATTCTTACTAGCAGGAAATGTCCCCATTATTGTCCACCCTGTCACAGTTTTTCATGATAACAGGGGGGACCTTAGAGGGCCAGAAAAGTTGGTGTTTCCTCCATAGATTTTTATTCATTGTCAATTCATTAAAAATGTGTTAGTCATTTTTAAAAAAAAGATGTATGCGTTAGGGAATTGCACTGACTCCTGCAGAAAAGCAGATGTATAACAGAGCTTGTCGTGATGCAGAAGGCAGGAATACTTGAATAAATAATAGGAACACTGGTAAAAAGACAGAGAGGAAGGAAGAAAAAGCAAGAGCATCAGAACTCAGAGAAAAGAGGAGGGAAAACAAAAGAGTACCAAGGTCAGAAAGTGTCCTCCAAGCTGATATGTGCCATGGTTACTTTGATGGTGAATGGATGGTGAGGTTTGATGTGGACACATTTTACCAGCTGGGATATTCAATTCTATTCAGTTTATTTCTATAGCGCCAATTCACAACACATGTCATCTCAAGGTACTTTGCAGTTCACCAGATCATACAGTCAAATTGATTCAAAGTTTTCTATCTAAGTAAAACCAGTTGATTGCATCGACTCATTGACTCGAAGGCAATCCCTCACACTAAGCATGCTTGTAGCGACAGTGGAGAGGAAAAATTCACCACATAGTTTTAGTCCTAAACTGTTTGCTAGTTTCCCAGCACCAGTTCTTTGCACTGCCTCTCCCATAAACACTGGTTCTGGAGTTGAGTAATGCTCAGCACTACTGGTTTATTCAATTTACTAAATAAATAAAATAGTACAATCTATTGCACGTGTTCACATAGCAAATCATCTATCAGCCCAGCATCCTCACTGTGTCATGTTTTTCAGAGGTATCAACGTACCGGTATTGCTCATATCAGGAGCAGTAATGGAGTGTTTGTTCTCCACCTCTCCATTGATGGTCTTCTCATTGGGTTCTTTGGAAGCAGGGCTGGTGACCCCTGGGATGGGGGGCAAACCTCGGGGAGGGGTTCTGGCCAATGGAGAGCTGCGACACTCTAGCAGGAACTTTCGATCATAGATGATCCGGGTACCTATCCAATCAGAGAGGAGAACAAGCATCACAAAAAAAGCAAGATAATAGCAAAAAAACATCATTTAAAAATAACCTTATTAAGTAGTTGATCCAGGTTAAGTCTAACAGCTTTATTTGTAACAGCTCCTAGCTATCGCTATAAGTGTCATAAGACTTTCAATTAATTGCTCAGACAAAGTAAAAAGTAAAAATGAGTGACTATCCAACAGGGATATGTTGTCTATTTATAGTTAGTATATAACATGAAGTATGTGTTGCATAACAACTTATTCTAATTGACAGAAAGTGGTAGCACTGTTTGAGCTACACTCATCAAAGTCTTTAATTTAAAGAGTCCTGTTTTCAATAATAATATGAGAGACTGAAATATCTACTTTCTAAGATTTAAGGCCTAACTTTGAGCCAAATATAAACACTTACAGTAAGATCTTGTGTGGATGTCAAAAAACTCAATTTAAGAATCAGCATGACAGGAACCAAACGTCTGTGACACGATGCTATGACTTACTTAAGATAATACATAATAATCAGAGAGATAAAGTATTTTGATCAAACAAGGCGTTGATCTGAGTAAAACAAAATGGGTTTCATATTCTTATTTTAAATGTGATTAAATAATCCAGTGTTTTTAAAAAAAATCAAATTAACTGATTTCTAGCGGAGTTAGATTTAATTCCTAAAAGGTTTATCATTTAAAATCCTATTTTTTTCTCTATTTAATGTTGACTTTAAGTTCTGACGTTCCTGTGAATACTTATTACGTTCTAATAATACATGTTCCACTGTTTCCATCTGATTACAGTAATAACAAGTCCATGTTTCATGTTTCCCTATTTTGAAAAGAGAACTATTAAGTCCAGTATGACCAATTCTAAGTCGAGATATGACTACCTCTTCTTTCCGCTTTCCATTTGTACAACTAATAACCCAACCAGAGGCATAGCCAGAAAAATTTCATAAGGGGTGGCCAGGCAATAACCAGTGTACTCAGAGGGGTGGTCGAAAACAGATAGGCACCGAAACCTCAGGGTCAATCTACACTGTTCCAATTGGAAATTTAACGAGCAAAACAACCATACTTTCTAAATAAAGACGCATATATTCAAGCATACGTGCTTTCTAGATAAAAGGTATAGTGGATAAAATTCTTTCAGGTTTGAGTTTTGGGCAAACATCTTTTCCATTGTCATTACTTACCCACTTCTATCAGTAATCATTCTGCATAAAATTGATATTTACAAGTACTAATATCTACATAAATTGTTTATTTAATATGTTTTTTTATTAAAACAGTTATTTATCTATGATTTCACTGAAGACTACTAAGTGACTTGCAAAGACATTTTTTTCTTTACCCAATAAAACAAACTATTTCTGAAGAGCATGCGTTCTGTACTTATCATCTTTAATGTTAGTATATTGATGTGCATAATTAACCAGTGTTGTTTTTTCTTTTGTAAAGTAATTGTTAATATATGATTTATTTATTTATTTTTTTAATAGTCCTCTTGAGAGTATTACTGCTGCCACCATCTGTATTAGAGGGAAATAAATGGTAGGGTGACCATGGCCACCCATGGCCCCCCATCTAGCTCAGCCCCTGCCCCTCACAGTCTTTTGAATTATAGATTGACCCTTACTTTTGCTTAAAAGAACACTTAAGTTAATAATATTTGATTTTAAGGCCTGTTTAGCTATTATATCTACTTCTTCATTTCTTTCATGCCTACATGAGCAGGAATCCTGACAAATCGAACAAAACATTTCTTATTAAGAAGCTGAACTAATAAGTGATATATATCTAATAATACATCAAATCTACAAGAGTTGCTAGATTTTATACTCAATAATGCAGTTTGACTCTCTGGTGCAATTATATAACTATTTCCTTCCCTAACATTGTCATCAAGCAACCATTCTAAAGCTAACATAATGGCAATTAATTCAACTGTAAAAACACCTGGGGTCAATGTTACAAAAGCAAGTTGAAGAAAAGCCTAAACGACAGCGCCCTCTACAGACCAGGTGGTGTTATTTGCTAATAGTCGCTAGACTTGGTCACGTGACTTAAAACTTGAAAAAGAACAAACCAGCGACTATTAATCATTATCCCCGGATTGAAACGTTGAAAACACTTACACAAACAATCACTTCATTATTAATAGCCTCCACTGAAAGTATAACAATGATAAAGTGCTTTAAATTTACTTTTTTTCCTTTGAGTTTGTCGGTGGTTAGCGGTAACATCTAGCTGCAGCAGACAGGAGCACTCATCATTTAGCATGAAGGAAACCATGCTGATTTTTAATGAAAGCTCTTTTGTGAGCACTGAAACAGGCCCTTGATGATGCATATGAATACTTTTAGATAATATCTGTAGAAACGTGTTACCTCCAGGTGTGGTGCTAAACAGAGTCCCCCCGGGGGTGGTGGAATAATCGTGGGGAATGTGATCCGCGTTGTCGATGTTCACCCTTCTGCTCGACGGGATGGCCGTGGCACTTGTCTTCCGGCAGTCGGTGGACATCCTCGCTTTATTTAACTCAAACTAGTTAACTAAGTGATATGAAGCAGCCAAGAAAGCTGGGTTTGGTAGAACAAAGACAGGGAGAGTGGCAGAAGCTGCTTTTGGCTCAACAGAACAACTCCTTTCTGCTACATAAAAATATCTCCCTCTCATTAGTGCGAGTGAAAGTGCAATCTGAATTTTTCACATCACTTCAAACGGTTTATCTCACACACGCTGAAAGCGTTGCGGATCTTTGTTAAAAGATGAGCACCTTTTGCTTCCACATGCACACAAAACAACAGACAGGCTGCAGAGTAAGAGAACGCTGCTGAGAATAATAAACAGAGTGGACCCACAGCGCCCTCTATTGGAACAGTAGGGATTATGCATGTGCTGCTGATACGGAGGGTTGCATCATATCGCACACTAACTCCGTCAGAACTCACACATTGGCGGTTCCAGTTAATTTTTACTGAGGTGGCCAGGCAGGGAACAATGTACTGCAGAGTGGAAGCCCAAAACTACACTCTAAAATGAGTTCAGTGTCAATATATACTGATCAAAATAAACAAACAGGAATTCGTATTTTATTTTCTCTAATAAATCACTCAAGACAGACTCAATTTTCATGCAGCTTTTGCTAATAAAACTACAGATATATTTATATGTTGCTGTTGTTTAAATTAATTTATGGTTCCTACATAATATGTACATTATTAAATGGGCTGAGCAGTTTTATCTTTAATTATATAAAAGAGTCCTAGATATGAGTACAGATCCCCCACAAAGCATACAACATATTTAAAAGACCAATAAATCTGAATTATTCCTTTTTTGCAATAGTGTATATTTTTGTCAATAAATAATCGTTTTATTTTTGTTGTCGGTTTTTGGTAAATATGTCAACTTTAAAATGTCAAAGTAGAACATTCTGTATTTAAGATGGTGTCACTGCTGCCACCCTCTGGCTTAGAGGAGAACTGCTTGTTCCAGAGGTGAAAACAACAACTCATCTGGTGAGTGTGGCCACTCTTACCAGGTTATTGATTGGTTAAAATGCATGTGTGTGTATATCACACACACTCCTTTGTGGGATTCCTGGCTAAATTTAATTATATCTAATTATATGATCTCAATGAGGCTCTGTGAGCAGCACTCTGCCAGGGCTGTCTGGGGATAGAAGCAGAGACGTAAAAAGAAGCAGAGATATAAAAGGTAACTCTTAACTAACACCACAGGTGGCCCCATCCAGGAAAGACACAGCCAGGCAGATAAGCTTCGAGTCAATTCCTATGTCAGGAAACAAAACAGAGTACACACAGTTAGTCACAGTAAGAGAAACAGGAATACACTGAACAACAGATCAAGGTCCAACATCTATAAACAAAGGTGTTGATGGCAGAAACACAGCTGATATTTCTCTCCAGGACGGTGTCACAGCCAAACAGGAACAGACCAGATGAAGCTACTGTAATGAGAAAAAGTAGAGAGAGCATAAAGGTATGTCTGGAACTAATATGTACTGCAAAATGGGAGAATGGATATAAAATTTGGCAGAATGATGAGAAGTGGTCCTCATGTCCACCAGCAGTCTAAGCCTATAGCAGCATAATTATAGATATAGCTTAGGATAACCTTAGTCACTCTAACTATAAGCTTAATCAAAAAGGAAAGTTTTACGCATAGCCTTCAAAACAGACAGGGTGTCTGCCTCATGGACTATAACTAGTAGTTGGCTCTACAGGAGAGGAGCCTGATAACTAAAAGATATGTGTCCCATTGTACTTTTACAAATTATAGGAACTACTAGTAAACCTGCAAACTGAAGGCAAAGTGCTCTGTTAGGAATAATCAGATCCCTCATATAAGACGGAGCTTGGCCATTTAAGACTTTATATGTGAGAAGGAGGATTTTAAATTCTATTCTGGATTTGATTTGAAGCCAATGAAGAGAAGCTAGAATAGGAGAAATATGATTTATATTTTTAGAGAGTTTGAGGATATTTCTAATTTTTATCTCCAGAGATGCATGAAGGAAGTTCTTGAAACCTCTTTGATATGGGATTTAAATGACAAATCCTGATTTAAAAAAAAATACACCAAGATGTTTTGCTTTATTATCTGAAATCAATTTAATCCCATCAAAATGAAGTGACTAACTAATCAGCTTTCTTTTCAAAGACTCAATTCAAAAGACAATAACTTCTGTTTTGTCTGCATTGAGGAGCAGATAGTTAAGAGTCATCCAGGTATATATTTCTTCAAAGCATGCCTGTAATCTATGTAATGGGTTAGTTTCATCTGGATTAATAGACAAATATAGCTAAGTGTCATCAGCATAACATTATAAATAAATCCCACACTGCCTAATAATTCTACCAATCGGGAGCATATATATACAGTAAAGAGAATTGGTCCTAGCACTGATCCCTGTGGTACTCCACAGATATGAGGAAGATTTATCATTAATGTGAACAAACTGAAATCGGTCAGACAGATAATTTAAACCGCTCTAGTGCTGTTCCTTTAATTACTTAAACATATTCAAGTCTTTCTAAAAGAATATTATGATCAACTGTATCAAATGCTGAGATCTAAGATGACAAGTACAGATACAAGTCCATTATCTGAGACCATGAGAATATCATTAGTGACTTTCAGCAGAGCTGTTTCAGTGCTATGATGAGCTCTAAAACCTGATTCTTTAAAAGTTCATTACGGTGTAAATGGCCACACACATATTTGGCAACTATTTTCTCAAGAATTTTAGATAAGGTAGGGAACATTCGATACACGTCTACAATTGACCAAGTCATCTGGGTCAAGAGATAGTTTCTTAAGTAAAGGTTTAATTACAGCTACCTTAAAAGCCTGAGTTTGTTATTCCTGTAACACAGATAGATTAATCACATCTAAAATGGAGATGGAAATACTTCCTTAAATAACCTGGTTAGAATTGGATCTACCATACAAGTTAAAGGCTTAGATGAAAACAAAGGTTTTGCTATCTCTGAAACTGGATGAACACAGTCTAAACTTGATTAAATTCTATACAGATGCTACCTCACCTTCTGGAGATAAACCAATTAATTTCCTCCCGATCCGCAAATGTGTTTTTGTATGTTTGTGGAATATGAATAGGTGCTTCACAAAAGTATACACACTATACGCAAAGACATTTCATTTCTTTATTAATTTTGTAAATGTTGAGCTGGTGTACAGAGTAAATTGTCAATAGATGCCCTCAGACTTTGATTGGATTAAAAGATTTTCACATGTATATTTCAAATCCATGTTTGACTCTTCATGACAATAAAATAATAAAAAAACAAGTTAAAACACCCATAAGACCCCCATTTATCCACAGATTGCAGGCAATACCCAGAACTCAACAGTCTCTTGGTAGCTACAGCTGTATGACGCTAAAAGTACATCCATAACATAATATAAATCCCATTTGACAATTAAGGGTGCATAGCATTCTAAGTAAATATATATATTTCCATATTATATATATATATATATATAGCCTTTTTATGTTAAAAACATTTTATGTGCATGTGCGCAGTTGCATTCCTTAGTATCGAGTAATATGCTATTGCGTTATTAATGTCTTCAATCCGTTCTAAAGGAATATACATGTCTTCTCTAGTTTTTGCAGGAGTTAATATTTTTGCATGAACTTTGTGCATGGCATCGTTTTTGGCAGTCCTTTGGTGCAGGCCTTCTAGGATTCACCTCGCTGTTAAAACCACAGCACATCCTGCCGGCACCTGCTTGGACACCTCTCTGACCACATTCAATCTGTCACCATGTGGAAGCCTTCAGATTTGGCTCAGTCTCATATTTGGTAAGAGGGAAACCAACAAAAAAGCGATCAGGGGAAGGCTGCGTTGAGGAAAAATGGTCATCATCTCCAAAGCCACCAAATTTCTCAAGTAATTTTATCTTGTTTGAGATTGCGCCTGTGTTTTTACCGTTATTCAGATCCCTGTAGCACTAACCCTGACATCAGCAGATGATTCCTAAAATGAATCAGCTTGTTTAAACCATTCAAGCATTAAAACATAAAGGATGAAATACTTTTTAAAAATATGTAATAAATAATTATTCTTTAATAGGAGAATAGGTTGAAAGTGAGCCCTGAAAAACCTGACATGAAATTATAGATTAGCTAAATCTCAGATTCATGAGGATTAATTAGTAGGATCAGATATTTAATTTTGCTCTATTTTAGTTTATTACTACTCGTTTGACTAGAATGTGCAGGTTCTATGCTGGAGCAATATGTAAAGCAAAAAGCGCCAAATTCAAATAAAAAATCTGGTATAAAACTATTCATACATGTGATAATTTAAATAAGAGTTAATGTAATCATTTGAATGTGCTATTCATTTATAAAATGCTAGAGAGCATTATACATGTAAAAATAATTAGATAAAATGTTGTTAAAAGCACATTAAACATTTTTTCCTTTTTAAAGGTCATCCTCTCACACCTTTTTTTAATTGTCCAATCACATGTTAAGATCTTCTTGACAGGCCAAACTTATAACTGAAATGTTTGATGTAAAAACAAAGATAAAGCAAATTTGAATATATATAGGAAATGTAACTTTAAACACATTATTTAAAGTTCCAATAAATTTTTTTATAACATACAATCATGGATGTATATAATTAACTATAGATACATATACATTTGTAATGTTTTGACTATTAACTGTATCGCCATAGTTATTAAATTATCACATGTATAAAAAATTTACTTTTACACAAAAGAAGCGTATTTAATGGTCTACAGCATTTTAGCCCTCGATACAGAAAAATGTAGTAAGAAATTAACAAGAGACAAAAAAAAAAAAAAAAAATCTGAACCAATAATAATTTCTCAATTCCATTAAAAAAGACAATATACTCAACTATACAATATCAATGCACCTATTATATTTTTTTAAAATTCAGGATTCATTTAATTGATTTATTTATCAACCCATTTAAAATCTTATTCAATGTAACTAGAAAAAAAAAACAGTTGCATCACATGGTGCAAATTGTATGCTGTGATATAAAGGATTTTATTTTATCTATGGAAAAATCGTACTTTTTATATCACAAAATATAAATATCTAACAAAAAAATAACTGTAAATACTAATCAAGGCTTTCCTTTTTAAAACCGTCCTTCATGTATGCTTGTGATGAAGATAAGATGAAGTTAAATGTATGATGAGCAGATACTGAGTTATAAACATCAGAGTGAACACCCTAATTTCTACTGGAGCACAGATCCAACACATAACAGGACTCACAGTAATACCACCACTTTACATTCATTGTTTCTGGCTGTGTAGCCTACTAAACAATTACGGATGGATGCTTATTGCGACATTTCTGTGGTTTACGTGTTTGTCTGATAAAGAGCTCAGTGGTGAACATGACGTTTGAACCAAATGTATAGAAAGTTTGTGTCATGTGAGATGGCACACACATATTGAGGTAAATCAACCTTTAAAAGTGTAGACGTATATAGTCTTGGACTTTTTGCAGTATGAGCCCCTAACTTTAACATGTCCCTTTAACCGGGACAGAGGAGCTACCCAGAAATCCATGCAAACACAAACTTGTACAACGGGACGTCTGTCAAAGTGCATATGAACGTCTTTAAGATTTCAAAACTGCTTGAACATAACATTGACATTCTTCGATAAATGACAAAACCAAGTATTGGGCACTTTTAAGAGGAGATTCAAACAGTGGTGGTTTTTGACAAGGCTCACCACCCAGGGAACCAATCATCAGGGGTTGTATCACAACATAAAACAAAAAAAAAACCAAACAGATATCTAACCTGCATGTCTAATCACTGGAAGAGTGTGCCTTAATATGTTGTCACAATGTAAAAACTGTGAAGGAAGCTAAGGATGCTAAAGTAGGTATCTGAGTTGTTGATCGCTATTTGAGCACTAATTCACTCTTTTTTAAGAACATGAACTCATACTATCTATTTGGATTCAAAATATGAAGAACATTTCGACTGTTAAACCTGGATTGTTGTGCAATGAACAGACATTTCTTTTAAAGCAGAGTTTCACGTTCATGATTTTTTAAATTATCCTGTACTATATATAAAAACAACATTTAAATGCTTAATATTGTTCTACACATATCACACATTTTGTGATTTGTGCAACATTTTGTCTATTTTGTGCCATTAATGCAAAAACCACCACTGGATTTATGATACTAGATGTCATATCATGATTTTGTGATACATCATGTGAAGCAAAATAATGACTGATCCTAAATTACTGACATCATTTCAGAATACTGATAGCAGGACTTTAAAGCTGCGATACACACACTGAAATCCCAAGCTCAGGAAGACCGTAACCTGTGATCCTAAAATTGTCATCCTTTTTCCACACACACTCACTCATAAACATTTGTCTTTTTCTTAGCAGTTATTGCTTCTTCTGAATATGACATAAATCTAAGACTGCAAGTCAATACAAAAAAAAGGATGTTTGTAAAAAGTGGAGACAAGCATAGAGACTAGGGGGAGCCAGGCTCACAGTTATGGGTCAGTATTACAGTTTCTCATCACAGTGATTGGTGACTGACTGCCTTCACTGCGTTCCAAGTAGCCAACAAAAGGACAACTCAACATGACCTCGCCCCATAACACAACGCTCCCCTGCCTGCCCAGTCAGACCAGTGCTACATTACCAGTGTTTCAGCTACCTCACCGAGTGACATCTTCTGGTGGTGGACAGATGATCTGTAAGTGCACCTTGTGCGTGTGGTGTAGTAGAATACTGCAAGCTAAAGGTGGGATCCTACCCCGCCTTACGATGAAGGGGAACAGGACTGCTACATGTGCTCTAAGAAGTTAATTGCAAAGGTGAAACATCTTATTAAAACAACAATATGAACCAAACAATACCTACTAAAGAGAAATGGAAATGTCCTATCTTTCACCTGAAGTGTTGCCTTCTGCAAAGAGACGCTTTTAAAACTGCCTCCTACAGATTAAAAAGACCCACAATACAGTAATAGATGAAAGTCCTCCCCTCTGCAGTTAGACATTTTCAAACAATGGGAGCAAGTGAGAGATGGAGAAAGATGAGCACAAACCCAAGTCAAAACAGGAGGAGCGAAATGACATTTGCATGTTTGTGTACCCACAATGACCTCAGGATATATAGACTAATATTATATAGGCTCTGACAGAACAGACCTAACAAGAAAAACAGGGAGGAATCTCTTATGTACATGAAAGCAGCATCAGTGGCATCGCATAGAGATCTCAAAGAACATAAACAACACATGTAACACACGGTTACGTTAGCATTTGAGTGCATACAATATTATGTACAACACTGATATTCTTGGGTGGTAAGAGGAGCTTTGGTGGGCTCAGACAACTCTGGGAGAAGATTCAAACTGGTCTGTGTGGTGTGGAATAGATTAATATTAGTTTGTAGTCTTTTTGTTTTCCCCTCTGGCTGATAAAGTTAATCATGTTAATTTATAAAACGGGCCAGTGATTGAAAGGACATTGCATGCCTGCCCCATCCCACCCCTTTACCCACCCCTGTTTTCCCCTCTGTATTTGTAGATAAAGACAGGCCATGCTGCAGCAATCACTCATGCTGATACAGATAACAGGAAGCACATGTTTGTTGCATTTCTTTCTTTTTTTTTTTTTTTTTGCTTGTGTTTGATTTTGTTTTATATGAAATCATGCTTCTAGCCTAGTAGGATTTGTTCTTTTTTTTCTTATCCCCAGAGTTTCTTAAAAATAAAGAGGTAATAAAAACTACAAGAAGATCTTTATCCTTTTCTTCTGGAGCGTGCTGAAAGTCGGCATTGCCGCTGTCGTCGTGTAGGAGAGGGTTTCATTTGACGGGCTGTCCCTGTGTGGTCTTCTGCCTGACAGCTGCTGCTGGTCATGTGTCCATGTAGGATGGTTTGGGTGAAAGGGTTGAATCCTGTGGAGAACTCTGCGGACAAAAGGAAAATTACTGATACAGCATCGGCCTATGTGTGTTTTAAGACAATACGTGTGCATCTCAGTAAATTAGAGTATCAGCGAAAAGTGAATTTATCTCAGTAGTTCCGTTAAAAATTATTTAGCTGTTTTAATTTAGATGGTTATGGCTCAGAGCTATTGGTCAACTTATCAATTTTTAAGTAAATTTGAATTTTAAGTTTTCCAATTAAAGCTACAGTGTGTAATTTTCAGCGACATCTAGCGTCCAGACTGCAGACCGCAGCAACATGAACATCTCCCCCCCACCGCTTCTCCCCCCAACAGTACGGCGAGCGTTACGGGACAAAATGTCTTCCACCACGTCCACATCACCTACCTTCTCAAGTGATGAGGTTTGTTTACATAGATAATTTCAATGATAGTATTTCATTAGTCTGTGTAGGGTATAGATTTCATGTAGACTTAAGATAATAAATATACCCGTTATTTTTTCTACATCGTTGTGACATTTGGCTGTGAAGTTTGTTGGCTCTGCGCTGCCGTAGCGCAAAGATGTCTGCCTCCATGGCTGCGAGACCGGCTCCTATGTAATTATAAACAATGATTTCTAAGGCAACGCAAATATTAAGGTTAAGAGGCTGAGCTCGTAGATGATGATAAAATAACATAGTTATGTATAATATATTAAATTTCTGACTGTATATCCCTGTAATTATTACACACTGTAGCTTTAAAGATTTTTAATACCAAACTAGCATGTTGTTGGCCATAATATAGCCCACAGAATCATGGAGACTGGTTGACAAGCAGACGGTCACCGGCATGCTCTGCAAAGCACATAGACAGCCAAAAACTGGGTAAAAACAAAGCTGGCTGCTGACAGATTGGTGTTAAAATAAGACAAAGTTGAGTGGAAGGAAAGTGTCAGACACACAATAGGGATGGGTGATTGGGAATGAGAGCTGGAAGAGATCCAGGACATGGGCTACAACGTTTGGACTCTTTATTCCATAGTTTTTAGGAAGTCCAAAGTCAGAGTAGGAGTCTACGAGAAAAACTTTGAGCGTTTTATGTTTCCGTCTGCTGACAAGATTTAGGGAGATGATGTCAACCCAGTTTTATAACAACTGATCATTGTGCTTGATAGGGCCCTAAATCGGTCTAACCTAAACCCTACAGAGAATATATAATAACTGAACTTTGTTGATCTCACACTGGAGAAATTAACTCTGCATTTCACCCACCCCCTTGGGAAGCAGTGGGCTGCCATTGTGCGGCAACCAAGAAGCAGTGCAGGGGTTAAGGTTATTGCTCAGAGACGCAGAGTGGCAGTCTGTGGGAATCGAACCGGCTACTTGTAACCTGATTTTGAGTAACAGAACCATGAGGTTCTGTTAAAAATACGACTCCAGATCCAGGATCTAAAGGCTGCTGTTAAAGCACAAATAGTTATTCTCTATGATCCACATGTAACACTGACCTGATGCAGTAACCGATGCAATTAGATTGTGTCCAAGTATTGAGTGTATAAACTGAACAGTACACAGACATACTTTTCTGTAGGGTCTCATTTTATCGAAAAATCATTTTATTTTTCTTCTGAAAAATTCCAATTCCCAATTTAACAGAATATACACTTGAAATATATGACTGTGTGTGTAAGAAATGTGTATTACATATGCTTGACATATGGTTCTCATTATTTCATAATAAATTGGTGAAATAAATTTAACTTATGATATTCTAATTCATTGAGATGCATCCTTTTATTAGAGAACACATGCAGAAGGAACATTTCATAGCAAAAACAATGCTATGCAAGAGCTTTAAAACCTTTTAGCACGACTTTGATAAAATGCTCACTTTTAAGCTTCCCTTATATATTAACCACATTCTTTTCCTTAATCATATCCAACAGATAACACATTTAACAGAAACTGCATGGCAAAAGCAGGGGAACATGCTGGAATAAAGTACTTGAAACATCAGTAATCCCAGGATTGTTGTAGCTTTTAATTTAGAAAGAGAATGTCAGACTCACACAACCACACAGGCACACACCCAGACCCACTGTCTAGTGGATCAAATTCTCCAGGCAACTGCCTTGGCAGCTTTGTCCTTGAGAGTTGCCACTTTACAAGATCTGTCTTGGTTTTGCTGACAGCACACTGTGTCACACTTATCCCAGGGCACACAGGCAAAAACCACTGGTCAAGCACAACTTTAAAGATCTCTTTCCATCAAAGCTTTGGAATTATATTTGTATTCTTGTGCAATATAAAATGGTATAGAATCTGAATTATCATATCAGGAAAAAATGCTTTCAAAGTAACAAAAAAAGTGTTGTCATTCAAGTTTTTTTATTCACAAATATAAGTCCGTGCTATGATGTAAGGACAAAAAAGCCCAGAAGCAGTCATGGATATCAGTAGGTTTTTAAAACTTTAAGAAAACGACTTAAATATTACTATTAAATCATGACTAGTGCTGATGAAATGAATCAAAATTAGACCAAGAGCAAATATGACATTAATATTATTTTACAGTATTTATAGTTTAAGGATAGGATTTTTTTTTTTTTTATAATTTGGAGTTATCAGCAGTCAGTAGCTTACTACAGGAAATGCCGCTCTAAAAATATCCATCTTAGACAGAAAAATATAGTTTTTTTCACCTCAGTGTCAAATGGTCACCTATTTAGAGTAGTAAAAAGCAAAACATTTTAATTTTAGCAAGTCATCTTAAAAATTGTTTCGGAACTTTAATTACAAAGAATCATGTACACAAAATCCAAGTCTTTTTATGCAAAATTGCTTCAAGGTGATGAACATATTTCTTTTTTTGTGTGATTTTTCTTTGCCAGTGTGACAGCCGTCCAGACTAAATAAGCATGCTGGCTAGTCTCAGAAATAGCTGAGGGATTGTATTTAGGCATAGTGGTTTAGTGAACTAAGATTTTCCTCTTTAAAAAGTGCAGCTATTTATTGTTGCTATAATTTTATTGCTTAATCAAGTTTTTTGGACTTCTCTTTAGACCAGAAGTTCAAAGGTATATGCACACCCTGGTGTGCTATACTGGGGTTAGATCCCTTCCATCCTGCTACTAGCCTACCTCTAGACATGTAAGACTTTATTTACCATTGGGGTTCTTCATCAGTGTTGCCATTTATAGTGTTGGTACACTACCCTAAAGAACTATATTATTTACTGAATTTAGTCACATTAACCGTTTGTTAACATTACTTGCAAATAAGTAGCAGAAAAGCAGAAATCCGATAGAGAATAAATAGAAGTTGGAAGTAAGTAAAATGCCGTCCTAATGCTATATTTGTTTGTGAAATTGGACTATTATTAATTCAAACTTTGGTTTTAGTCATAGAAAGCAGCATACCAAACCCAAAGATAGTTTGCAGTGATGTCACAATGTAGCCATAGTGACACGTGCAAAAAAATATTGGAGAAAGCCACTATTAAGTAACATTAGGGTGATATAAGGTAATATCAGAGTTGAAACTTGAATATGACCAAGCAATAAGTAATTTAGTGTTGAGTCGTGTAACTCCTCCTATGCTATGTCATAAAAAAAAGATTGTTCTTATCTTCGTAGTTATTTTATATTCACCCAATTTATTATCATTATAGGCATAATATACCAATATATAACATCTTTTAACCTTAAATTACTTCAGTTTACACTAGCCTAAAAAGATAGTTTAATAGCTTTGTTAGTTTACAAAACATGTTCTGGTCAGAAACTACTTACAGTGTTGCCCAAAATGACGCTGCGTAGACTGCTACTGCATTGTGAGATGAGGTTAAGATACTGACTGCTTTTTAAAACTCCAATGAATCCCTCTCCATGCACACATATACATTTATATAAACATACTGTATATACACACTGCCTGGCCAAAGAAAGTCACCACATGGATTTAACGAAGCCTGTAGGTATGGGCCTATTGGATAATTACTATAATTATGATTATCTTTCAGCTGGCGACAAATTATTTATTCCCAGCTTATACAATGAGTAGCTTCTCATTTCTTAAAAAAAGAAGAAGCATATTGAAAAGTAGAGATTGACAAATACAGTTTTAAAACAGATCATTTTGACATGAGCCTAATCAATCACCAATATGGGCTACGTTATATTTTGGAGGATTTTTGGAGGTGGTATTGTGTTTTTCTTATTCCATTTACATGATAGACATGACAAATTGATAATGGATGTTAAACAAGTATAAACTTGAAAAAAGAAGAAAATATATTTACAAATTAAACGAAACATTTAATTGATAAAATTTTAGAGCTAAATTGGGGACTTATGTTTATTTTAAAACTTTTTTATCCTGAAATGCATTTTAAACAGGAGAAAAAAAACTGCTAAGAAAAATTGTAAACTTAAAGGTAATATTTTAATAGCTTAATCCGGTCTGCTCCTGTTGACTGTGACTTCATCCTGGAATGAAATATCAGCTGTGCTGCTGCCATCAACATCTGTTTATGGATGGTGGAGCTCGGCCTGTTTTTCAGTGTAGTCTTGTTTCTTACTCTGACTAACTGTATGTTCTCTCTTTCATCCTCTGACAGCTTCCTTGGAGCTCATCTGCCTGACGTGTCTGTCCTGCACGGGGCTAGCTATCCTTTCTTTTTGTATAACTGCTTCTGTCTCAGTGAGCCGCAGTTGGCCTCAGCAGATGGCCTGCTCGGTGTGAAGGATCACTGAAGTGTTAACGAAAAAATGCAAGCTGCATGCTCATCCAGGAGGAGCATGTCTTGCAAGTCAATGACTCAATGCAATCAACTGGTTTTCCTTGACAGGAACATTTAACCAATCAGACTGTACTGTCTCTGTAAATTGCCTCGAGATGACAAGTGCTGTTAATTATAGCTATATGAATAGTCCAATGCATTATTAAAAACTGGAAGGATAGTAAGAATCCATCATCTTTGAAGGAAAGAATGTGGTTAAAACAAATTCTTGTATAATTATGATCAGTCACGGCTTAACAATTGACCAAATTACACAGAGTATATTTAATAGTGAAAGTAAAGCATTTCCACATGCACAGTGCAAAGCAAATTTAAAGAAGGGATCGGGACTAAAAAGCCATGTAATCATAACACACACACTTAGCAGTATATACGTTTAAAATATACATGAGTTTGTGGAATAAATGGCAGATCTGACTAAGAATGTGTCATGTAAACATGCCAAGCAGAATATTATGATATGATTGGGCAGGATTTACAATGAAATTATAATCTGACCAAGAGGGTTGGTTTATGCCAAATGATTATCTGATTAGCATGTATGTAAACGCTAGTCTGGATCAAATTATTCTCAATGAGCCAAGCTGAGTGCACGTTTGCACCCCACACCAAGGTGGCATATTTGGGCTTGGAGAAGGTAGAAAATAGTTACAAAGTTCCAACAGAAATATTTGCATGACACAATTTTAACCCAATCGACTGTTTTATTTTGATTTCTTATGTCCATTGTAATGCTATACTGGTATAAAATCTGATAATTCTTTATGAGTACCTTTTAACTATACAGGATAGTTAATGAGCTTTGGGCGGCTCTGCATAACCCAAAACATATAAAGGTGTCTACTTTATCATATGTCACGCTTAGTACATGTCACAAAATAATTATTATTTTTAAGTTCCTGAGATGGGATGGGGCCTATACATCCTGTCCCAAAGAGGATTTTAGGCACCTGCATTATTCCTAGCTGCAGCAATGGACAGCAAGAGGTCCCAATGATAAATGCATTGATGTTAGGAATCCTCCTGCTTCCTGGTCTTAGCTCCTTCCAATTGCCAGGACTATTCAGATGGTGACTGTGGAAGCACTTGTGCTTTGGCTTAGGTCCTTATCCATTTGAGCTATCTGGATTGAGCCCCTTTTCCAGCATAACTAGTGTATCAGGGTAAGGTGAGAGGCAGGTGAAGCGATGCACACATCTAAATTTGTGTCTACTGTGCAATCTTATATGGACACATGTCCAGCTTCAAAGCAAGATGTTGATGTAAAAATATTAATACTAATAAATATTATTACATTTAAAGAAGTCAACTGAAGCAAAGCCACAGAGAATATGCCCTGTAATAAAAGCTAAGGTAGTCCTGTCAAATATTTAGACTGTGTGACCTTTTCTTGGTTAACCAGGCAGTGTTTATATATATAGATATATACAGACAGAGAGAGAGAAAGAAAGAATGAAGGAGCTTTCTTTAGGCGCTGTCTACAGTGTGTATTTGTTGAGTAAATATGTCACATTACTGTGCCAGTATCAGGTTATATATCATTAGTGTTTAATCAAAGGTAAATTTGGATGCATTTAATCCAGAGAGACCAGATTAAACGTGTTCAGCCACAGGTCAGACGAGGCACTGTGGGTCTGTCCCATACCTGGAGGGACGCAGCACTCTGTCTGCCTCACTGTTTAACCCTCCGCAGACTGGCACATTTCACTATTTGAGCACCTTTCTTCACATCCACAGAATCGGTCTACGTTGTGGGGAGAGGGAAAGGGGGTTTACACCAGAAGAGGTCAATGGGTTGAGGACAGGTGTTGAGGAAAGAAGGGGAAAAGATGAGAGTGAGAGATTATTAAGAAGAAATAGAAAAAGAAGAGGGAAAACAGGGACATAATAATTTAGGAACAAAATGTTTACAATAGAAATGAGCTGATAAACAGTAGAGACAACAGGAAGGAGAAACATAACGAGATGGGAACAAAATAAACAGATAATAAGAAAGGAAATATGTAAAAAAGCAAATAATTTATAAACAGTCAAGCCAGGATGGACATCAGGAAAAATCAAAGATGGATAAAATACTGCATCTGTGGTTTAGAGTAAATTAAGAAGTTTGAAACAGACAGATAAAGCCCCAAATGGTTAACAGATTAGTATTTTCTGAAACTTTAAATCATCAAAGGAATTGTATTTTTTAAACACATATATATTTTGGTTGAATTCTTCATTACCTTTCTTTTTTTTTTTTTTGGATATTAACCACAAACGTCAACCTATGTTATTGGGATTTGATTTAATAGCACAAAACAAAGCAGGGAAATGGATAAATATTTTAATCTATCTTTAAAAAAAGGAACAATCGTTATGCCTTTTTATTCAGCCAATAGTTTGTAAAGTGAGCATTTACCACATTTTAGCTGCAGGTCTTTTAGTGTTTTTGGTGTGTTTGCTGTTTTGGGACAGCTTTGAACAAACAGAGGTGACTTTGAACAAGACATTCACCATCCTCCCCTCCATTATTAGAATTTAATATTGCATTTTGATCAGGTTTTCAAGTTCTACTTTAATTTTAATCCTATTTATAACGTTAATGCAGTAAATACTAGATCTAAAGCTACTCAGCTGGTGCAGAAATTCTATTCAGTTTTACTTTGTATTATCTGTCTATTTTCAAATTTAGAACAAATCTACACCAAGCAGTATTTCTTTAAGATTAAAATTGAGCTATTTTCCGCCCATATACCATTTTTTTAAATAAAGTTTTTAAGTTTGTATCATTTAAGGCAAATCATTTACCTTTTATACTTTAATGCAATGCAGAACCTATGCTTGCTTATGAGTTCAATCAGTCCATCTATAGCGTTGTTTAGACAGACATTTTTACTCAGTAAAGAATGGGAGTGTAAAAATGTTGCCCATTAATTTTTGAAATACAAAAAAGTATACCCAGTCAATCAGCATGTAGAGCTTCAGTGAAGATAATTTTTAAAGGGCTGCCTCAGATGCTCAAAAAGACATATATGTGAACTTTGACTGGACCATTTTAACATGATACACATGCTTTGATTGAAACCATTCCATTGTTCCCCTTGTTCTGCCATGAATATACCTTTTAAAAAAAAATAAGGGCTGCATTTGTTTATAGAAATTACACACCTGTACAAACTATACTATATTTATTAATTAGGTGACTCCTAAAGGTAGTTGGTTGGACTTTAATTTATTTAGGGGTATTAGAGTAAAGAGGCTTGAATACAGATGCAAGCCAAACTTTTCACATTTGTATAAAAAAGGTAAAAGCTATGTTTTAATTACCTTCTTTTCCCCAATCATGCACTAGTGTCTATCACTTGCAAAATCCGATAATATATTTGAAGTTTGTGGTTACAATGTGAAAAAGATTTAAAAAGTTACAGGGTTATCAACATTTTTGCAAGTAGACCTAAGCACTCTGTACCACATGCATTTTAAAACCATTCAATGACTAAATAATATGTGGTTCAGAGCTAGCTTAAGGGATCAAGACACAGTGAGAGTTGAAGTACCAAGCTTTAATAAAAGCAGGAACACAGAAGAATCACTCATTTGGAGAGGAGAGAAAGAAGTGCAGCTTTAACAACTGCAAAGGATCATGATGGCCATCGCATTCATTACTTTGTTGTAAACAATCAAAGTGTAGGAATGGCTTATTAATGACAGAAATTAATAAAATCGGATTGAATTATTGGTTATTTGCATTTCATCCAAAGCAATCAGAAAAAAAGATTAATACATTTTTTCCATAGATGCTAAATAAAGAACATGAGAAAACATTCAGATTGAAATAGTTATAACATAGTCAGCAAGAAAGCCTCTTTCCAAACACACATTTATATTTCCTTTAGTAATTTAAAACATAAATTCAGGTTTACTGCTTTCATCCAAGAATAGGCAATCTCGACGCCTTTGCATTGATTTATACAATCAGATCCTCATATGGTGTACTGCTGTATCATCTGATGTAATTTAGCGAAACTTAGCTTTGCCACCTCCCGTCTCTAGTTAAAACCTGGAGAGAGGCATACAGTTGCCTGCAGATCAGAAGCCCACCTTGCTGCTGTCCCGGCCCAGGATGGCGTAGCTCAGGTACTGCTCAGCATCGCCCTCCAACTCGTTGGTATCCAGCAGGGAACCCTCCACCTCCAGAACCCCTTCCTCTCCCAAACCTTTCCCTCTGCGTACCACTTTCCGTACAATCTATCCCGTATTTCAGACGGTGGCGTACAGGAGGTGGGAAGACAGACGAGGGTGAGTGGATAATAAAGTAACAGAAGAAAAAGAAATGTTGATGAAAAAAAATATTTTTTTTAGATATCCAACATGAAATGGATGAGGAACTTTGACGAACAACAATTGGTTAAATAATCATTATGTAGGGAGATGCTGAATGAACACATAACCGTGAATGAACCTGACTTCCTGCTATGAAATATGTTGAAAATGCTGACCTTCTTTGTGATGATGTTTCCGTGTTCATCTGTGAACTGTTCTTCACTTACTTGGCCCCCAGGAAGGTCTTCAACCTCATCCCCCTGCGAACAAGACAACATTTGCATTCAGCGTTTCTCAAATAATATTAAAACCTTTATTTAACCAGGAAAGTCCGAACTGAGATAAACAATCTCTTTTTAAAGGGAGACCTGGCAAAACAATAAAAAAATAAAAGTGGCACATTTTTCTAAACTGCAGGCATGATCAATAAAAACGTGTTTTAAATAGAGTGGCATATTAGATATTATTTCACAGATCAGATCAGTCAAACATTCTCACTTTGAGGTTCAATACTTTTATATCATTAAATAAGTTCTACTTATCTTCCTTGAAGAGTGAGCAAGAATCATCCACCTGATCCGTATATATCTATATATTGCATATTCTCACGTTGATGTGATTTGAGGTGGAGTACCTGTGGTATCATTCCTTAGCACCTAGTGTTTTTAAATATAAAATCCTCTGAATTTAAAGCATCTTCTATAGCGACTCTTTGAACTTTTTGTTTATGAAATCTTTTGGAGGGGAAAGGAAAGGAATGAATCATATTGATGCCAAATCAGTAGCTCCCTGAAGAAAGTTGACTGCAACCTCAAACAATCGATATTAGGGAATGGGATATGTTTATTTTTAATGGCACTGTATTTATACGCCCCTATGTGGGTCAGTGTTAGTTTATATGCCTATATTCTCTGCACAGATGGGCTTTATTTAGGGAAGAGGCTGGTTGACGGGCTGAGACTTAAAACTGTGACAGCAGCATAGAGAACAAAGACCTGTGAACATTTCTACCTTCTTTTGAATGTAAGAAAAAATATATAATTTTTTTCAATACATCATTATTTTCAATGCAGGGCTTTGTATTTACTTCTCCATCAGTTGGAAACAATTTGCTGAAAAGATCAGCAAGATCAGCATGAATAAAATGTTATACTTAAAATCATAAACTTATGACATGGATGAAAATACTCGTACTGTACATCCTTTGATATGATGCATTCCCACACTCAGCTATTAATAAATATATTCCACTGAAATTATAAAGCTGGACCACTGTGAGCTAGAATAACATAATTTTTTAAGAGTTATAGAGACTTATTAGATTATCAAGCAAAAACTCCAAATACTCAACTTTTAAAGAGCCAAGGCTCAGAAGTGATACATCCGGTAAAATTTATCTTTACAACAGCAGAGAATAATACTGAACTCTGAGATATTTTTCATTGTTTCTGCTCATTTCTCAAGTTCATTGCAGTAACAGAAGTAAATAACATTGAGCAAAATCCTTTTTATCCACTAAATCCTGTCACCACAGGCTGTGATCTTGTCCTGACTATATCAGGTCACCCAGTTATTGACAATATTAGGCCCAGAAAAACACATTGGGCTTTTATTCCTTTTGTGTCCTGTTCAGTTTAATATAAAACACTGAAAGTAATGGCTGAGTGTCCAAGTTAATCAATCCTAAAAAAACAACTTTTAAACACATTTGACACTGATAGATGTTTGTGTGCTACAGGTACACTTTCTTAAATTTGAAAGTGTTAGTGTTTTTAAATGATTTTGCTGTTAGGACTATAAGGAAATCATCTAAACTTCTAAAAGACATAATCTGCTGTTTCCTAAAAAAATGAATAAAGAATGTCTTAAAGTTTTTGTCCGCCTTTCTTTTTCCCCTTTTTGTACCTTAAGGATGACTCTGCGACGGACCACCCTTGTGGTCACGTTCTCCTCCTCGTCAGCGACCCCTTCGACCTCACCGAGCTCATGATCCAGCTGAGCATGTATGTAACTGAGCACAGAACGTACGGAGCCGCTGGCAATGTGGAGGACATTCTGGCAGCTGATCACCAGGAAAGCCAGCAGCACGAAGCTGAAGAGGAGCTCAGTCACCAGAGCCCACATCACACCAGTTAATGACTAATATACCAACACAACTTGCACAAAACAGCCTTAGCCCGTCAGCTGTTTCCTAAACGATCCCCCTAGCTGAGAAAGACGGCAACAGCTGCAGCTCTCTTTCCTTTTGACGTTGGTTCAGCAAAACTAATGTTTCAGATCATTTTTGTCCTCCAACAGCTGGGGCAGTGGGCTCCCCTGACCACATCTCTTTCCTCACCTTCCTTCTTGCAGTTTACTAGAGCCGAGTCAAAGATCCAACCTACAGCTACCCTGAGAAGCTTCTATTCACACCTCTCTGACTTTCAGCCCATGTGATCTGTGGACTTAAAATACCTCCTCCAACTCCTTTACAGCTCCTATGCAGTAGCAATAGACCAGTCATTGTAACTTTCTCTTACTTTCCTCTTGTTTCTTTAGAGTTTAAACAGCCAAAGAGATAAAACAACAACATTTACATATAATGCAGGAAGCATTTTAACCAAAATAGTGTTTTTCAATGATGTTCAGCAACAGATGGTGTAAACTGTATATAACATAGTAAACCCAGCTTGATATTTGTTCTCTTACAGTAATATGGCTAAGATTGATTGTACATAGCAAATCTGTCTGTCATTTGTGTAAAGTTTACACATGGGAATGACCGACAGGGGCTGATGTAACATGAACGGGAGAAGGAGAATGCTTTCTAAATTTGGCCTTTGCCACTGTTAGTGGCCATCTTGGGGTTTGCTGTCTATGTGTGTTTGTGTAAGGGTACGTATGTTGTATTTGTAGGGTCCAGAACTGATAAAGGATAGAGCAATGTGAATTTTAAGAGTACCAAAGAAAGATTAAAGATATATATATATATATATATATATATATATATATATATATATATATATATATATATATATATATATCTCCAGTGCTGTTTTATTCAAATCTGTAAAAAAATGTATTTTAGAGTGTTTTTTTAGTGACATCATCAGTGCAAAAAGTCCAGGATGCTATTAGTTACAATGATTGACCCTTTAAAGCCCGATCCAAGAATAAAATAAAACAGAAAATTACTTTTTTTTTGGTTTGAAGTCCTTATTTGGCCTTTTAACAAAATATGTAAAAAGAAAAAACAGAAATAAATTTTTGATAATAATTTATTACTATGCGATAAGTCAAGATTATTTTTTGTGTAGTCTTCTGCCCTCTGTTATCACATATGTCTGATTGTGTACAATAGTATTTTGAGCAAAGCTTTTACCATTAAATATGCAAAAGGTGTCAGACGCAAAACATTTCAGAAACCGTATGTATCAAATACGATACATTTGGCATTACAGGATTAAAAGTGGTATGGATATATCGATTTGGAAAATATTCAGATAAAAGCTACAGACCAAAATGTAATGTAAAAAAATGGAGAAGAAGAAGTGTGATAAAAAGGCAACATATTATTTGGGTTTAAGGAGGCATATTAGAACCAAGAAGGTAGATCTTCCATCCAACCTAACTTATTCTGTTAACTGCATCTTCTTATTAACCTGAGAATACACATCAAAGGAAATTATTTGAAGAATGAAAAACCCTACTCTTTTTAATTGCTAAATCAGAGGGAAAGTAGAAAATGTATGTTTTGCTTTTCATACGAGTAAATCTTGGAGCAGATGAGGAGGTTGTACACACTGCAGGGAGGAGGTAGATGCATAAAAAGTTGGTAGAAGGTCTAGAGGGCATATGGAGGAACAGCCAATTTATCTTAACTGTCTGAATTGAGATAATTAATACGAGTAGACACTAAAGATTTCTAGTTCTGCCAAATGTAGTTACATATGTCAACATCCAGGGTGCAAATACAAGAGTCGGTGTTGTTACATCAGGGAAGTCCTTACCAAAATACAGGAAATTCTGGATTTAAAGCAGAAATACTTATTTTTTTGTTTGGCAGAGTTTGTTTTCAAATTGTACATTTTGCAGGTGAACTATAACCTTCACCAATGCAACACGTGGCAACTTTTGCTCCCATTGGACAAACATTACCTGGAACAAAGACCCAGCAATGAAAAAAGTAAAAAATTTCAAAACAATTCTGAATGCTGCATTTTTGTTGTGCTAAATCATACTGTTCTTATGCAACAATAGTGTCAACAGCAGCATCATACCCTCCGCCTCCCAGAATGCTTATAGCAACATTGCTCAACAAAAGATGTCGTATTAGATATGACTTCCTAACAGTATCATTTTATGTAGATGAGGGAATTAAAATACAAAATTCCTTGAATTAATAATTTGCAGATTTTATAAAACAAAAATCAAGATGCTTATTTTCAAGATAGAAGTTAAACTTGCAAAGTTACATGCAATAACTGGACATGCAGTCATTGCTTAATAAACCTAAACTCTTACAAAAAAAAATGTTCCCCAGTTTCTGATTAATTGCAACTGAGTTTGTGGGAACTGTAAGAATAACACACTCACCTGGCCCTTCAGATGCACATCGTCCCAGGCTCTAAGTTCTGGTACCCTGTGTGGGAATCCCAGACCCTTCTCAAATGGCTGGGTTCCCCTGAAGTGGCCCCGTAAAATCTCAGAGTGCCCCATGTCCCTCACAGGTTGAAGCAACGCTTCCTGGGACATTAGGGATGGATCTCCATCAACAGCATTACGTACTGATGAAATCATAGTCTCCATGGCCTGCCTGGGCTTAGACTGGGTGCCCACCCAAGCCTGTGTTGGGTCAGTGACAGGCATCCATGCCGATCCAGTCTGTTCCTCCAGATAGGAAAGGAAAGAGCCTCCTCCACTTCCGTTTCCACTATTAGATGACCTGAAAGTAATTCAGTGGATAAAACAGGATTCACCATCTTGTCAAAGATTTGGTAGAAGCATGAGGTAAAAGAAACAAGTATTCCATTATTTTGGAATATCCTAAAACCTAGATACATAAAGAGGCTTTACCAACCTGTCTCCATTCCGATCCGCAACACAGCTCAGACCAGGTGACTCACTCAATCGGGCATACACTCTTTGCTGTCCTGAAACAAGAGAATGTCCTTCCTCTGAGCCAGTTCCACCTAGTCGTCGTCCTCCTCCTTCAGCTCCATCACCACCAGTCGTACTTGTGACGGCTGATAACTCTGAACTTGCCTCTGACCCCTGACCGTTGTTAAGCCCATTGAGATTGATCCCTGCAATGGTTCCCCCGAGTGAAGCTGGTGTGGTTGTGCTGAGAGAGTCCACTCCCATCTCTGAATCATCCTCTGGCAGCTCAATGGAACCACTCAGCACAACCCCCCCTGGGCTGGCTGCGCTGGCCTGGCTGGCTGGTCGACCCAGACTTCCATATGGCAGTCCCAGCAAACCCTCTGAGTCATCAGCATTGCTGCACTCCAGCGAGGAGTCTTCCACAGCTACCAAGGATGGGCTGTTGCCTGAGGGCCAAACCTGAACGTCTGACATCTCCATCAGGGTGTCCTCTTCTGTGGTGGCAATTGGTGCACAGTCCAGGCTGGACACTTCCTGCCAATAAGGTTCAGCACCCAACGGAGAAGGCAGGCTGTACTGCATGGAGGCCGGCGAATGGAGCTCCTCCTGCGCAAGCCCATAACCTGGAGCGAGACAGAGAGAGGCACGCTGACACCCGGCCTCCCCGTCTCGCTCCCTACCTCACCCCCACAGCACTGGGACCCTGGGAGGAGGTAAGTGCCCCAGCCCACGAGCTGGGCATCTAGGGGAGGAGAAGAGGAGGCTGAAGGGACAAATGGGAGAGGAGTGGAACTGAAAAGAGGGGATAGGGCCAAGACAATAGGAGCTGGAATAAAGGTGCAATTAGCTAAAAGAGCAAGGGCAGCTTTTGGAAGAAAGGTTGTCAAGCTTAATCAGCCAGTGTTGACAGTACGAGCATTGGCAGTAACAGAATCAGACACAGCCGGTCGGACTGACTGACTGAGGTTCGACTCCAGCTGTGGCTGGTGCTGCTCTGCTGGCTGCCACCTGCAGGGAGATGAGACGAATTACTTACTTCTATCCAGCAGGGACACAAACTCCCTATCTGTGACATACATATCTTCTCACTCAGTAATATACATGCATTCAAAGTCTCTCAGAAACAGGCAACTTATTTTTGTTGACAGGCTGGAAAGCATGCAATCAGCAGGCAATCCCATTTTCACATTAGACAACTTCAAGATACGTCCATCAGGAATGAATGGTTTGTATTATAAAATTATAACCACTTTTGATATAAAAAAAAAACTGAAAGTACTTATCATGTTTTGGAAAACAAAACCAAGTATTTCAGACTCAGAGGAAGAGTTTCACATTTGGTAACATTTTTAGTTTCACAGTAAGGGCTTATGAAATGTGAAATACACCAAAGGACTGTGGTATAGGCTATGTGGCTGTTTATTCAGACTGGCACAGACTTGGGGGCCATGCCCTTGATAATTTTAATTACACATCAGAAACACTCCCAGAAGGTTTGCTATTGCTTATTTGCGTAAAAGGCAGTAAAAGAAAACAGGACTTAACCATGGCTGGCAAACATTGCTGTAAGTCTAACACCATCTGTTTTCCCAGGAATTGGGAGAACAGTTAAAATTTTAGAATTTCTATAAATCGATTTTGTTCAATTTCAGAACTTACACCAGTGTCCTCTGGTTGGCCACTAACGGATCAAGATAAGGCACCAATTTGACTTAATGTCTTAATGTGAAGCAAGTTTACTATCAGTCTAATATTAATTTTTAAAATAACTGACATTTAATGAAGATTGTGCGAGCAAAAATGTTCAATTTAACCCGTAGCCCTTTTAGCATAAAACTGTTTGGGAGTCATATGGATCCAGTTAGTATCCTGATTGAATAAAATATGGCTACCACTCTGCCTCTATTTCCTGGACTATAGACTGCACATCACTATAAGCCGTGCTCACTAAATGTTTTTGAAAATAAATGGAAACTTAAGCTGCTGATCTCATCAGAACAGTTTCCCACCAAACCTGTAGGGGGAGCTCTTCATGTTTCCCCTAGAGTATCAACAAAGAAGAATTTTAGCTCCCGTTAGCTTGTTGAATCACGTCTTTTACTGAAAGATGAGGCTACATCAGCTCTTTATTTAAACTTTGCAGGAGTTGAAGTCTCTTTATTGGTTCAGCAGCTTTTATGCGGCAAATACATGTCAAAATGCGTGAATTCGGGACATTTGTTCTTCATTGTGTATGCTGCTAGCATGTTCTTGAGCTAAATGAACATTAGCTCTTTATTCTTTCATTTCCAATTTTGACTTCTCCCTCTGGGGGTTAGGAAAAAGTCCACAGAAAAGTCATACCTAAGCCGAATTATTCAAAGCCTGGGAAAAAAAGTAGCAGCTTATAGTCTGTATATTACAGTAATATTGATGTACATTCAGCAAATTCATTTAAATACTGAATATTTTCTTAAAGCCCACACTGGGAGTTTTTTTCACACTGTCAAAGCATACTGACAATAAAAAACAAAACAAAAAAATTATGCTTTCAAGATATTTAAAGATTAATTTAAGGGATAGTATAGGTTAAGAAACATGACCAGCACTCATAACTCGAAGTAACTTAATTGTAAAAGAGCAGCTGGGAAGCTATGAGCTTGTTTGGAAGCCATTTTACCAAAAAAAATATTAAATAATATAAACCAGTGTTGTTTTAAAATCATTCTTATACCCCAGTACATTGAAGCAACATTTTTCATTCAATTAAACCTAAATGAAACATTCTCCAAATCATCCCACTCAGCACACAGCTGTGTCCCTCTCACGCCTCTACCATGTAAACACAGACTCAGGCTTGTTAAACCTAGTGCAACCTAAAGCTAAGTTTAAAATGATCTTCCCAAATCATCAAGACATGTCAATGTGAAGTGGACTCAGGTCACTCCTACAAATTCACTTCATGACTGTTTTTCTTTTTGCCCAAAAACGTTTAATTAAGACTAATAGGCATGTTATTCTTATGAAACACAAAATGCTTACACCCATATTTCACTCAGCAAATAGTGAAATGTTCAAAACTTTCAGAAAGGTAACAAGAAAAACAAAAGATTTTCAGTTTTTGTTTCATAAAATGTTTTCTTCTTTATCATAAGAAGCAAAGCCTTCTATTTGTGTTGAAGCTTGTCTGGGTTTAGACCTAAACCGTTTTTTTTAACTGTAACCTTTTTGTGAATATAACCTTGGGACCCTTTTTAACCTGTACCTCAACCTGCCGTGTAAACCTGCATGTTCTATTCCTTTACACATGTTAATGTAAAGCTAAGATCCAGGCTGCTCTATGTGGCAAATATTCCAGTTTTCCTACATAGTAATTTAAGGAGAAGCTCTCTCTTCAGTAGTAGTGCATCAGTATCTGCTGTCTGACTCTCACCACCCAGAGGAACAGAGATTTTCTGTTATCAGATCTCTACACTATCAGGCCAAACACATTCCCACAGACACATAGAGAAGAAAATAAAAAAGCCACACACTAATAAAGCTCATCAAACCTGTAGATATTCCAACTGGACTTCTTCAACAGATGAGAATTTCACTTAACAAGTCAAGGAAATGAACAAACACAAAAAAGTCCTCCCATAAGTTCCTGAAAAACATGGGTAAAATTTTTTTTCTCAAAACACAAAATTCTGTTTCATTTCAAATCTAACTGAACTCGCAACTTTTCAATAACCAAGCTCTCCAGCTGTTTTTTTAAATGTTCATTTTGTTGTGCTTATTTCTCACATTACTATGCACTCAATTACTAAGAATATTCATCAAATGAATATAAATATAAAAAAATACTTCTGCAAATAACTCTTCTTTGGAAATTAGCTGAGGATTTAGGTAATATTTTTTTATAAAGAATATTATGAGTGATGGTAAATTTTTTAATTGGAGGACTTGCAGAAAATGATGAAGAAAATGCTGTTTGTAGAGAAAAGGTAAGGTTTTGTGGACAGTGAAGAGCTCACTGAGTAGAGAACAGAGTGTAACTTGACTCATAGTTGGCTGAGGACTGCTGCTGAGACTGCAGAAGATATCTGAGACACCAAGCGGCAAAATACCCCTTGTCCTACTTTCTCCTCCCAGCTGCAGTCCAATTGAATTCTATATATGTTCATACACTTTTCTCTCAGCTCTTACAGATTTGTCAAATTATACAAAGGCAAACATCTGTTGTTTGACCTAAAATGTTTTATTAACATCATTGAGAGTATCTGAATGCAACCATTATCTCTGACTCAAACTGTTTCCATTCAAGCTGTAAGTATTTGTTTGAAAATTATTTATTTTGTTTCTAAGTTAAAAATAAAGAGCAAAACCTTTTTTATATAACAACCTTAGATTTTCTGGAGAAAATGATAAAATATTTTCACCTCCACCATGACTTTCTTACAGAAACAATAACAGTATTGATCAATTCTGAAGGTTTATTCTGAGAGAATCCTTATACTTTATATCTTCTATAAAATAGAGACACCCAATGAAATTTCAACAAAAACATCAAAAATAGATGAGAAAAAAAAAGGGAGATATTATTCAGTGTTTATGTGTACAACTAGGTTTAATTTGTCCATTTATTCAGAGGAATGTTGGCATTATTATTTAAAGAAGGGTTCTTATGCACTTACATGCACAAATAATCAGATAGGTGGAACAAAAAGGGTCTTAATACGATCTGCATACAGAGACTTCATTCTATACCAGGGCTAAGATAACATGTCAAGATCTTAAGCTGTCAGTTGCTCTATCAAAGCTCTTTATCTAAATACAGTGTATAAAACACCTTCTACAAAGAATGTTTAGAATAATACAGATTGAATTTAGAAAACATTTTAGAAACCATAAACATCATAGTTTTAATTTAGTTGTGGTTTACTGATCAAAACCTAATGTTTAGGATGTTTTTTATGCTGTTTCACCATTTAAGGTCTAAAACATGGTGACTAATTAATACTAAAGTTAATATGTCACATTTGAGAAAATGAGGATACCAATCAGCAAAATAAGTTTACCCAAGGATGCGGCAGGGTCGAGTTAAGATACAATCTTCAATTTTATATGTGAACACTGCAGTCATTAACTGATGAAAATAAAACAGTTTGAAAATATTGCTGCCACCGATCTCGTCCTATCTCTGTTTTTCTCTCATTGACAGCATACCTGATCCAGTGCTTGAGTTTAGTTTTTTGAGTTTTTTTTCTTTCCTGAACAGTCATTTATATTCTACTGGCATTAAGTTTGACTTCTCATTTTCCTACCAAAAGTAACCAACTAATGAGTCAGTGCTCTATGTTCAGCTGTATTTTTGCCTGGATAGAGCCATTAATGGAGCTAATGACTCCTCTGACTATTTTTCTTTTTTTTTCATATAAAGTAGTCCTAGCTCAGTCCCTCTGAGCTTAACTCTGCCCCTCTGAAATGTTTTCATCGATGAAGAATCTTGAGCCATAGTTTTCTTTCCCAATAAAATTAAAAACAATTAAATGCTTCTATATACAGCTGTGTATATTTTCTGGTCATAGGAATTGTTTAAGCTCTTACTGGCTCATCTAGACATGTTAAAGTCTCCCTTTTCTGACTATAGTCAGTAGTGAAGCTTTTATTTACATAAACATTTTAATACTATTTATAATAACAATCATTATTATGTTTATCAGTTAGACATTATACAGTGGCTTTGTGTTTATTTGTGCCTCTTTTCTAGATAGATCCATGTACTCAGCTTTTGCTACAAAAGAGGTCCGATGGGTCAACACTACTTGTTGCTGTGTTTTTTCTTATGGTCGACCTGTTGCTATCTTTTACTATATTCCTTTTAACTACATGTTTGTTTGCTTTTTTTTTTCTAATAGAAAGTTTTGTTGACTCTCTTTTGATGTATTTTACTTTTGTGTAATAATAGAAAATATTATTACCCAAACCTATTGTACAAGTAGGCTGGATCAACAGTGTTGTTTATTAAAAATCTCTTGTACGTCAGC